CTTCCTGTCAATTTACTTTGTCAACTTATAATTTTAGCAACTAAAGGTTATTAAAGGTGACTTTGAATTATGGTGAAATCTGAAAAAAGTACCTATGTTGTAGGATTAAGTCTATTGAAATCTAGAAAACATATGTAGTTTTGATGTGTAGACAAATTTAGTAGTATCTCTTTGGAAGTGATCATTCCTATCACAGAACTCTTATTTGCACTCTGTATGGTAGTCCCCCCCTTACCCTTGAGGGATATGTTCCAAGACCCCCAGTGGATGTCTAAAACCAAAGATAGTACTGAGACATCTATATACAGGGTGTCCCCAAAGTCACCATACATAGGGAAAATGGGAAATTGTAGCTAAATGTACTTTACTTACAAAATATCCATTACAAAATATTATAACATTTTTCCTTTGGAGACTTTTGGGACACCCTGTACTATGTTTTTTTCCTATACATACATATACCTGTGATAAAGTTTAATTTATAAATTAGGCACAGTAAGAGATTAACAACAATAACAATAAAACAGAACAACTATAACAATTTACTACAGCGTCACTACTCTTGCTCTTTGGGGCCATTATTAAGCAAAATAAGGGCTACTTGAACACAAGCAATGTGATACCTCAACAGTCAATCTGATCACCGAGAAGGCTACTCAGTGATGAACAGGCAAGTAACATATACAGTGTGGATACGCTGGCCAAAGGGATGATTCACATCCCGGGTTGAACAGAGTGGGACGGTGAGGGATTTCATCACACTACTCAGAATGGCACACGATTTAAAACTTTTCTATTTAGTATTTTTGGGCTGTGGTCAACCGTGGGTACTGGAACCTTGGAAAGTGAAACTGCAGATAAGCGGGGGACTACTATATGTCAAACAGATAAAAGTGGGACTACACTGTTTAAAGCAGAAACAGGAGGTCTGAACCCTAGCCTGTCTAGCCTTCCTCCCAAATAACCCTCCCGGTACCTTTGTAAGATCTTGAATTTCTACAGACCACAATTTGAAAACCAGCTTCACACTAGACTATCATCCTTTGGTCCCTTGTCAGTACCATTGGCCCTCTGTATCTGTAGGTTCTGAATACATGGATTCAACCAATTGTGGGTCAAATATATTTTTGTAAAAAACTCTCTATTTTGAACATGTACATACTTTTTTCTTGTTATCATTCCCTAAACAATATAGTATAGCATCTATTTGCAAAGTATTTACATTTTATTAGGTATTATAAGTAGTCTAGAGATGATTAATTTAGGAAGATGTGCAGAGGTGTTATATGCAAATATGTCATTTTATATCAGGGACTTGAGCACCCACTGATTTTGTTATTCGAGGAAGGGCCTGGAACCAAACCAAACTATGGATATTGAGGGATGACTGTATTGCTCTGTCACCTTTGATTTCCCTGTATCTTTAATGCCTTCAATATCCCACTTTGCTGATCTCCAAACCTAGGTAATCCCCACCCACCTTCTTTGATGCTACTCTGTGCTAGATGAAATTTTAATTTAATAATCACATATTTATCAGCTGGCCACTCACACATGAGACATTTTTTTCCCATTTACTGTTTTTACCTCTTAATAAAAAAAAGTGTTAAAAATTTGCTTTGTAAAGTAGTTGTACCAGCTTACACTCTCAACAGTGCTATGTGATAGTGCCCATTTCTCCACAGTTTTAACTAACGGGGTGTTATCAGATGTTTTTGTTTTTGCCAGTCTGGTTAAGTGTAAAGTTCTATCTTAAATTTGCATTTTCCTGGCTAACTGCATCAAATAAGTATTTTCATAGGGTTTTTTGGCTATTTTATGAATTGCCTTTTTGTTTTTTCATTTTTAAATAGCATTGCTTGATTTTTCTTATAAATATGTATGAGTTCTTAATATATTCTGGTTATTCTTTGGTTGTGTACAATACATTCTTTTTCTAGTATGCATCTTGTCCTTTCATTTAGTTAATTCCAAAATTTCCATGTGACAAAAGATAT